AAAAAATCAAAGAACACATGGGCTAAGAATACAGATTGATGAAAGAGTTTGAAAAACATAATCAGAATGGAGGAGAAGAGGAGAAGAATACCTGCAGATTCCTTTGAAGAAAAGAGAAAAAATGCGTTGAAGAGGAAGAAGAGATATGCGCAGGGTTTTGAGGAGTTATGCGCAGTTTTTTTTAAGTTATGCGCAGGGTTATCCGGAGGGTTATGCGGAGGAAAAGAAAGAATTTAAAAAAGGTCTTTTCTATTGAACGCTACCTTACGTAACATCTCATAAAAGACCTAAAAAGACCTAGACTTCTCAAAAAAGCTATTGGGCCAAACACAAAACTAGACTCTTTTAAGATCTTTTTAAATAATAGAGAAGCTAGAAGCTATTACCTTTTGTGTGCCAAACATGCTCTTAGGAGACTGATTCTTACTTAGCACAAAATGAGACGCAAGAGGAACATGCACAGGCGCATCAGAAGACATATTAAACTTACTCAAAACCTTCTCAACATAAGAAATCTGATTTAGAACAAGAGTATGCTTGCTCCTGTCCCTAACAATGTTAACCCCAAGTATCCTCTTGGCATCACCAAGATCTTTCATAGCAAAATTCTCACAAAGGCGTTTTTGAACAAATATAATAGATTTAAGACAAGGGCTTATAATCAACATGTCATCCACATAGATTAACAAGAACACATGAACAAAGTTAGTATTCTTGAAATAAAGACAATGATCAGAGGCAGATTTCACAAATTTCATAGACTGCATACACTTGTCAAACCTAATATTCCATTGCCTAGGGGATTGCTTCAGGCCATACAAGGCCTTCATAAGCAGACAGACATGGTCACCCCTCTTGGGATCCACAACGCCCTCAGGTTGAGTCATGTAAATTTTCTTATCCAATTCACCATGCAAAAATGCAGTGGTGACATCCATTTGTTTCATCTCCCAGTCATGGTGAGCAACCAAAGCCAACATGATTCTAACAGCAGTAAACTTAACTACAGGAGCAAAAATTTCTACATAATCTACCACCTCTTTTTGAGTAAACCCCTTGGCAACAAGCCTAGCCTTATACATAATCTTCTTTGACCTTAAACAGCCACTTGCACTCAACTACTGAGCTGGCATCAGGTCTAGGAACAAGGATCCAAGTCTGGTTCACTCTCAGAGAGTCCATCTCACTTTTCATGGCCTCAAGCCATCTCTGAGACTCTCTGGACCTTATAACTTCACTATAGGTCTTATGTTCATTTAGGTCTAGGGCCTCAAACACAGTAAAAGCAAAATCAGATATAGCATACGCAGTAAAAGCATAGTCAGACAAAGTATCAGATTTTCCCTTAATGGTTCTTCTACCCCTATCCCTAACAAGTTGGTAGTCATGCAAATCAACATCATCATTCTCAGCAGAATCATCAAACACATTGGTTCCACTAGACACAGAATCATTATGAGTACTGAACTCCACCTCACTGGAGGTAACAGTATCACCAGAAGTATTAACATGCACATCAGAAGGGATGACAGGTACAAAAGGAGGAGTGTCATACATAACAGAAGGAATAGTAGGCACAGAAGGGACCTGAGGCTCCACCTCAACAGGTGTCCTCTCAGGTTCATGCTCAGAAACAGTTTTAAGCAAGCAAGGGAAATCAAACTCATTGAAGATTACATCCCTATTTATCACCACCTTAAAACCAGGCACACTTCTATCCCACAGCCTATATCCCTTTACCCCATCAGGATACCCTAAGAAAACACACTTTTTGGATCTAGGATCTAACTTATCAGTTTTCTAATGAACATAGGCAGCACACCCAAAGACCCTAAGGTTTGACAGGTCAAGAGGCCCACCAGTAAACTTAACTTCAGGGCATTGACCCCCTATGGGAACAGGAGGAGATCTATTTATCAGATAGGTGACAGTGGTAACTGCTTCACCCCAAAACTTCTTAGGTAAATCTGAGGTAGACAACATACTTCTAATCTTGTCAAGAAGGGTTCTATTCATCCTTTCAGCCACCCCATTCTGTTGGGGGGTGTAGGGCACAGTCTTATGTCTCCTAATGCCAGAAGTGGCACACAGTTGGTCAAGCTCATGGTTACAGAACTCTAGGCCATTATCAGTCCTAAGGGTCTTAACATTCTGTCTAGTTTGATTTTCTATAATTAACTTCCAGACCTTAAACTTCTCACAAACATCAGACTTATGTTCTAGAAGGTAGACCCACACTTTCCTAGAAAAATCACCAATTAAGGACAATAAATACTGTTTCCCCCATGTGTGGGAACACTGGCAGGAGCCCAAACACCAGCATGCACATATTCAAGCACAGAGAAGCACTTTGTCATATTAGGATAAGAGGATAGAGGGAATTGGACTCTATGTTGTTTACCAAGAACACATGATTCACAGAAAGTCAAAGAGTTCACAGAGTCTTTACCAAAATAACCATGTTTATACATGATCCCTAAACCTTTATTACCCATATGCCCTAGTCTATTATGCCACAACAAGGTTTTATCAGTATGCACAACATTCACAGAGTCAATATAAGGTTTAGAATGACACACATAAAGGTTGTTCACCTTCTCAGCTTTAAACAACACCAGAGATTTTTTCAAAATTTTCATATAACCATTCCCCCATTTTCCCTCTAATTCACTACCCTCCAAGGCAACAACAGATAACAAGTTGTGACACAAATCAGGGACATGCCTCACATTCTTGAGAGTAAACACAGAGCCACAAGAAAACTTAAGACATATATCACCTATACCTAGAACATTGCATCTCTTATTATCAGCCAAGGAAACATAACTCATATCACATTTCTCATATTTAGAAAACAAGTCCCTAAAAGGAGTCATATGATAGGTGCAACCAGAATCAATCAACCATTCATGCTCAGTCAAGATATCCCGAACAGAATTAACATGATCACACACCATGAGAACCTCACCAAGGTCATCTCTCTCTATAGCTACACTAGCCTGCTCAGGTTTCTTGGGATGGGGACAGTCTTTAATAAAGTGTCCAGAATTGTCACAGTTATAGCACATACGTTTTCTAGACTTATTCATCTTCTTACCATTTTGGTTACTATTTTTAGCTTGGGCATCATGTTTCTGATTCTTAGACCTACTCTTAGATCTACCCCTCACAAACATAGCCTCACCAGAATCCTTGGATTGACTAGAAATACTCCTATTATGTTTAAGGTCAAGCTCTTTACTCTTAAGGCCATTCACAATAATATCAAGGGTGACATCATCTCTACCATATTTAATAGCAGATTTAACATCATTATAAGAATCAGGAATAACATTAAGCAACACAACATCATTATAATCATCAATATGCTTATCACCAGATTGTCTAATGTTCTGGATCAACTTATTAAAAACATCCAAGTTTTCATCAATGTCTTTGGTTAGGTCTAGCCTAAACCGAAAGAATTTTTCAAGTAAAAATAGTTTACCAGGCAGAGAGGTGTCAGTATAAAGATCATCTAACTTATCCAATAATTTTTTAGCAGAGTCTAAAATACCAACCTTTCTAAGCACAGAGTCAGATAGGTTAAGATAAATAGTAGAGCAGGTAGTTTCATTCATTTCAGCTTTCTTAGCACTATCATCAGAATCCAAATAAAGTTCACTTACAGCTCTGAAAACCTTTTGCTGGATTAAAACACATTTGATCTTTTGTTTCCAAATGTCAAAATTAGTTTTCCCATTAAAAGGTAGCATACCATACATATTGGCAGACATAACAACAGACACCAGAGAGAACACAATAAGGACAATGCTGAAGTTCAGTAGTAGAAGACAAGGTCAATGAAAAAACAGCACACACAGACACAGAGAACCAAGGAGCTAGGGTTCACCAGTGTACCCGGCTGCGGGCTGACAAGCCACGCAGATCCGAAGGCCACTTGAGTGACTGGCAGGGAACCTGTCAGTCCTAACCTCAGGTTCCGAGTCACACAAGTTAAAAATCCCAGTTCACAAGGGTAACAAGCAAGCACAAAGGACAGTAAAGGTGAGATAAACACGCAAGGGAGACTGATTACAAGTTCAAAACCTCAAGCCCGTATACAAAACCAGTACGAATCACATATCTAAACACACATGCAGACCAAACTTCACACACAAAGGTAAAGCGTACGCACCTGGGAGTAGTCAGTTACAACTGACAGCCAGACCGACTAGGTCAGCAGCAAAAGCAAAGCGGGGAAGGGGATGAAACGAGTAAAAACACCAAAACACACAATACCGGAGGCACCCGGCTACCTAGGATGTTTATCGCCAATTTACCTGAGCGAGAACCACTGTCAGGTTTTCACCTCTCCAGCTCAGACCACGCTCATACAGCACACCACCAAGCACCACCGGAAGGGACAATCACACTCAGGCCAGCCCAACCATCTCAACGCACGCCAAAGATCAGAAAAGGGGAAGCACAGAGAGAATAACACAAAGGGACCGGAAGGAGAAGAGACTGAGAGTCTCTCTATCTCTCTAACCTCACTCTCTCTCTTTAACCGAAGACATCTGTATCAAGGAGAAGAAAAAGAGGGCCTAAATACCGAGGGTCACATGGAACCCTAATAGAGGGTTCCAGAAGAGGGCTAGCGAGAAAACAACATGGACCGGGACAAAAGGCAAGCGAACAGGCCCACACAAGGAGAGAAGGACTGCCAAGACCTTATGGGCCAATACCCCCACACAACTGTCTTCCCGTTTGAATTTTTATCTGAAATTTGGTATGAGAAAACTAGTCTTAATGAAGAAAATGCTCAAGAAATTTCATCAAAAAATTCTACCGGAAACCGTCCCAAATGGTGACGGCCGGGCAGAATTTTCTATATAAAGGGTGATTTGGACTTTTTAAGTTAGTTTTAGATCCTATTTAACCCTTGTCCTTTAAAATAATGTCGAGGATAATCTAAGATAATTTAAATCCATTTTTTGACCCCATACTTCCTCATGGCACCTTGTGCAACGACAAAAGCATTCCGGGACCCGCAGTATTAAACCTCCCGAGGCCTGACCCATCTCTTTTATTCTTCTGAAAGTATTTCGCCCATTCTTGCAAGAAGGAAAGGAGAAATTAGAACATCCAGTTTTATATTGAAATATAAGAGAAAATGAGTACAAAGGGAAGAACAGCCATAGAGGTTGGAGCTGATGGAGTGGCAGTCATCACCATTATCAACCCTCCTGTCAATTCACTCTCCATTGATGGTATTCACAAAACATACTACGGTGTTTGTTCCCAATTTTCAATATTTCGGAAATTCAATTTCATTACACTCTATAAATTACAAGCTCTTGATCTTCAAACAATTTCGAGCTGGGGGTATGAGACCGGAGGAATGAATATCATTTGTTTGTGTGCCATATTTTCGCTTAATCTTGGTGCAGTTGGTTGTCATGCTGTTTTTATTTGTTAAAAGAGAGCTTTTTGACATATGTAAAATAAAATATTTTACTCAGCACTCTCGTAGCTTAAACCAAAAATTGATTCTTGATGGATGTATTTCAATTGAGGGTTAGCATCTATTGAATCAATAGGCACAACTAGGTCATGTGGGATTGAATCAGAAACCTTTCACATACACTCTACTTCCATTGGGTTGAAACTGTTGGTTCTGAAAAGAATTTTCATTTGTTAGAGAGTTGCTGTATCTCAGTATCGTCAAGTAGATTTTGCTCTCTTAAACTGAAGTAAACATTATATGCCTTTTGCTATTCTTTGATCTCCTATGCACGTAGCTTTATGAGCCCTGGACATTTTTTGAATTTGTGATGAGTTTCTATTTCTTTGCAATGACATCTCATTTGTAACAAATGAGCTTTACTTCAAAGCTAGTGAACTTTAATTGGGACAGATGAACACAGGCTACAAGTGTGATTAATACTTCTTCTGGTGTCATCAAGTTACATATGGCAAAGCTCATAATCCAAGTTGCTGTTATATGTTTCCTCTGGATGTCGTTTCATGGAGTAACCTACTACGATATTGTGTGTTGTCTTTAATCCACATTGTAAAGTATTTTTTGTGTGTATATTTCCAGTACTTCATAGCTTGAAGGAGAGTTATGAACAAGCGTTAAGAAGGGATGATGTGAAGGCAGTTGTTGTGACAGGCGAGTTTTCCTTGACGTTATTTCAAGCTTCTTGACATTATCTTTTTGGTATTCAATGAATGTGGGTGATTTGTGAACATTTGTTTATGTAAAATACATAACAGGTGCAAATGGAAAGTTTTCTGGTGGTTTTGATATCACTGCCTTTAGTGGATTACAAGGAGGAAAGGGTATGGATAGCTAAGTTACATTTAACCACGTTATCTATTTTCTCTCTAATGTTGTCTGTTTAAATTACAGTTGAACCACCAAAACCTGGTTTCGTGTCAGTTGAGATTCTCACTGACATAGTAGAAGGTAATTCCATGAGCTTGTTGTACTTCAACTTGAGACTGAATATTTTGACTACTATAACTGTTCTCTTCTAGTACTTCAAAGTTGAAAAGGGAACTCTTTTTGTTGCATGCATAATTGTATCTATTCAATTACATGGAAGTGATGAAATAACAATTTTTTTGTGACTACTATAACTATTTCTTGATTCACTCGTTTTCATCTTCATGCTAGCTTCCAGAAAACCATCAGTAGCAGCCATTGATGGTCTTGCTTTAGGTGGAGGACTCGAAGTTGCAATGGTAAAAGTCACTTCCAGTTTACATGCTGAATTTATGCGTACTTATTTTTGCTAACATTTTAGATTTGTTTTAGGGTTGCCATGCACGTATTTCTACTCCAAATGCACAGTTAGGCTTACCGGAACTTCAGCTTGGTATAATCCCTGGGTTTGGAGGTATGTTAGGAAATTCAAGCATTTCAATATGCATTTACTTGTTCACACATTTGAACCAAGTTGTATATGGTGCCTATGTTATTTAATCGCTGAGTACTGCTATGTGCTATAGATCATGTTGACTTGTCTACCTATTCAGTCCGATTCAAAAAAATCGAGTTACTTGGTGATATTAGTCATTCGGCGAGCCTGATTTATTGGTGAGTAACCCGACCATAGTTAAGTATGAAAGATTGAAAACAAAAATTAGGTCATTATGAGATTGAGAAAACTTAGGGATTCAAATTTAATAATTTGTTTTCAAGGTTTTAGAAGTTGGTAACTACAAATTCTCACTCAAGGTGTGATTGTGGACATGGAGAAGATGAATATAATGCTTATATTGAACCAAATGGTGATTAATTTTAGATATAAGAAGTTAATTGATCAGATGGTGGGATCTTCTCTAAATGTTGTATGAACTGTGTTAGTTGTCGTCGATTTTTTGTTTTTGATTTATATATATATATACGGAGTATAAGACTTACGAGGCTAATATATTTAGAATTGTGTGGCATATATTTAAAAAGCTTACTAACAGGGCTGAGTCATTACCAGTTACTCCCGAGTAATAAGTCCTAATTAACAACTCAACTGTTTAGGCTGGTGCCTTTATTGCAAATGTTGTTCGAAATACAGATCCCTTGACTGCCATGAGAGTCAGATTTTAGAATCAATAAACTCTCTCTCTGGGAAAATATCTTTTTGCTGGTCTTGAGTTGTGTGATGTGAATCATGTGATGGTTTAAATTGTTAGAAGTCAAGTTTCTTTTTAAATTTTAAATGAGATTTTTTCGGTGCTCTTACAGTATCACATATTTTACTCACAATTTGGTTCCAACGATAGCTTCATTTTTAGTAAATTATAACTACAATGTCAAGCACAAATAATGTATGCAATTTAATTATTTTGTGTATTGTTAGGGACACAGCGGCTTCCGCGCCTTGTGGGTCTTGCTAAGGGCCTAGAGATGATGCTTGTAAGTACTAGCATTTTTAAACAGTGTTCAAAATATTTTGGAATACAGTATTTTGTTTCAACTTCACATATCCTTCTCTCATTCATGTCTTTCTCTTGTGTGTTTCTTAGACATCAAAGCCCGTTAAGGGACAGGAAGCCCTGAATTTGGGTCTTGTGGATGCCATTGTTTCCCCAAATGAATTACTGGAAACTGCACGTCGATGGGCCCTTGATATCTTGGAGCGGCGCAGACCTTGGGTTTCTAGTCTCTATAGGACAGACAAAATTGAACCACTTGGTGATGCCAAAGAAATACTAAAGTTTGCTCGAGCTCAGACCCGTAAGCAAGCTCCAAACCTTAACCATCCATTAGTCTGCATCGATGTTGTTGAAGAAGGTATAGTTCGTGGTCCGCGTGCTGGCCTTTGGAAGGTTGTATATCATTCCCTTGCTCTGGTGAAGATCCAATAGTGCCTAATGATCTAACAAGCACTTGATATTTGCAGGAAGCAGAAGCATTTCAAGACCTTCTATATTCTGACACGTGCAAGGCCTTGGTACACATTTTCTTTGCCCTCCGCGGAACCACAAAGGTAAGATAAGTTATCCCCTCTGTCCTATTATGTTAGTTATAACACTTTTCATTCTTTGCCTGTCTCAAAATTATGGGTTCTTCATCCTCGAATCTATACCTCTTACTTTTTCTGGACCCATATTACTTTTTCTTCATTGTAGGGGTTTAGAACTGTAATATAACAACTATCTGTTTTATTTTATTAAAGTATGTGCCAAACCAAAAAGAAGAACTTTCTCTTCTTATTTTATACTCATAAATAATTACAAAGAGAATCACTTTGACCAGAGGCTTTACTTTACTTCCAAAACATCATCCAGTAAAGGTCAATAGGAGCCATTTATGGTTCAAACTATCCAAATGAATGCATGGTCAATTAAGGTTCTCCATTCACTGCATTCAGGTTCCAGGTTTAACTGATCTAGGATTGGCACCAAGAAGAATTAAGAAGGTTGGAATTCTGGGAGGGGGTTTAATGGGCTCTGGAATTGCAACTGCTTTTATACTCTCCAATTATCCAGTTGTTCTTAAGGAAGTTAATGAGAAATTTCTACAAGCTGGAATTGGTAGAGTAAAAGGTAAGGGTGGAGTCTTGATTTGACTTTATGGTTTAATTGTTGTCATATGATTTAATCTTTGTTGATTACTCACTCAGCTAATCTTCAAAGTCGAGTGAAGAAGGGGAAAATGAGTCAAGAGAAGTTTGAAAAAACACTCTCCTTACTGAAAGGCGTTCTTGACTATGAAAGCTTTAGAGATGTGGACATGGTCATTGAGGTGGTGCATACATTCTCACTTTAGCTCATACGTAGTATTTTTTATATTTATTTTTCTGTTTTCATATCTTCTGTTCCATTTGCTTCTAAACAGGCTGTTATTGAGGACATACATTTGAAGCAGAATATATTTGCTGATCTTGAAAAGTATTGTCCTCCACATTGCATACTAGCGAGTAACACATCCACCATTGACTTGAACTTAATTGGAGAGAAAACTAAATCACACAATCGTATCATTGGTGCCCACTTTTTCAGGTAACACCTATTGGGGAGGCAAATGTTTTACTTTGTTTCTTTATTGGTTCAATAATTTCTATGTTTTTAATGCAGTCCGGCCCATGTAATGCCACTTCTGGAAATTGTTCGCACTCAAAATACATCTCCTCAAGCTATTGTTGACTTGCTAGATGTTGGGAAAAAGATAAAGAAAACCCCCGTGGTTGTGGGTAATTGCACTGGGTTTGCTGTCAACAGAATGTTCTTTCCTTACACTCAAGCTGCTCTCTTGCTCGCTGAGCGGGGTACAGATGTCTACAAAATAGACAAAGCAATTACAAAATTTGGAATGCCCATGGGCCCTTTTAGGTTATGCTTTGCCTCTCCACATATTTAACTTCACTATAACCTCCTCGCATGAATGAGTCTGCTTTTTCTTTTTGTGAAGTCATCCATACTGGCCAATTACTAAAGTATAAACTCATACTACGTATAAGACTTTGACCTACCTGTTCTATCATGTTGACGTTTTAGTATGAAACCCTAAAGAAGCCATAATCCCTAATATGGTAATACAATCAATTAAGTTCAAAGAAGCAATTTGTTCTCGGCAAGCTTCAACAACAAGCACACGAAAGTTATAATTGGTTTACTTTGATGAGGCTCTAATTTCCAAGTACATGTTAAGTCTTATCACACCAGCCAAATAAATCCCTAATATCATGTTGACGTTTTAGTATGAAACCCTAAAGAAGCCATAAATCCCTAATATGGTAATACAATCAATTAAGTTCAAAGGAGCAATTTGTTCTGGGCAAGCTTCAACAACAAGCACACGAAAGTTATAATTGGTTTGCTTTGATGAGCCTCTAATTTCCAAGTACATGTTAAGTCTTATCACACCAGCCAAATATAGAAATACAAAATCACGCATAAGGCCTTTGACTACTTGTCGTATTGAATTGACTTTTTACGATAAAATTCAAGTCTTAATACTTCTTAAAATATGGGCTGAATGATTTTGCTATATACCTATGCAGATTGTGCGACCTCGTTGGTTTTGGCGTTGCAGTTGCAACTGGAGGTCAATATGTGATGAATTTTCCGGAAAGGACATATAAATCGATGTTGATACCACTCATGCAAGAAGACAAAAGGGGAGGTACCATTGTTGGTTCCTAATCCAGAGCAATTTTAACTTTTCAAACTGTTGATCATATTTGTCTTGTGAATGTTTTAGGTGAAGCCACTCGTAGAGGATTTTATGTTTATGATGAAAGGCGCAAAGCCAACCCAGATCCTGAAATAAAGAAATATATTGAGAAGGCAAGAGAGATGTCTGGTGTTACCATTGACCCAAAGGTATTTTCATCTCAATCCCGCCTAATCGTACTGTATGAAATTCCCTCCATCTTAATTTATTTGTCACTTTCACCAATAAGGCGGTCAACCTAATTTTATTTCTCAGATTTTGTATCTCAAAGTTTTGACATATTTGGATTAGGTTTTTGGATTTCACTTTTAGTATAGTTTCTAAGTATGTAAATTGTATTTATTGATACTTATAGAAATTTTATTAAGGGATGTTTAACTTTAAGTCCAGTCAAACCATGTGATCTGTAATATGCCACATAAATTGGGACAAATGTAGTATATGTTGGTAACATTATATATATGTTCCCTTAACTAAAGTGTGATGTGATATTGGTTCAGTTGATAAAACTTTCGGATAAGGATATAGTGGAGATGACATTTTTGCCTGTGGTGAACGAAGCCTGTAGAGTACTTTCTGAAGGCATTGCGACCAAAGCTGCTGATTTGGACATTGCTGCCGTCATGGGCATGGGTTTCCCACCTTATAGGTCTGTCAATTTTTCCAATAATCTGTTGCTTATAAGCTTATTAGATCATGCAGAGTTTGGTTGGTCACAACATTTTATTATCAACCCAGGGGAGGGATCTTGTTTTGGGCGGACACTCTCGGGTCCAAGTACATTTACTCTAAGTTGAATGAGTGGTCAAAGATATATGGAGGTTTCTTTGAACCATGCTCTTACCTAGCTGAACGAGCCGTTGTGGATGCTCCTCTGGTCAGTATTCAGTTTTTTTTGCATGTTGCATAGCAAACTATTTGTGATTCAGCAACATATAATGCCTTTGTGTTAAAAGAGAAAAGTGATGCCACAAAAATGATGATACTGACCGATAATTACAATTTCCCCATTAATGTAGCCCAAAAAGTTTCAAACCCTGCCTTTCTTACACATTATAAAGCGGAGCTGTCCTTTATATTAGTGAAATTGAACATGGATATAAATATGACTGCTCAGTCATTATAGTCACTTCAAAAATACTAGTGTGGTTACTGTAAAATTGAATATCACCATGATCATCAATGTGAAAATAACACTATGATTAATCCGTATAAAAAGTCACACTGCCATCCATTTTTTGTTATATATTTTTCATTATTTCTTATAAAAACTCCAACCAACTTTCATGGGCCTCACATATTTCCAAGCTTTTCCGACGTCATCACATATTTTCAAGCGTTGAGAATAAGGTTATTTCATCATTTTCATTTACCTCAGTGCTGCAAAGGCTCCCACCTACGGTGGGGTAAGGGGGGTCGGATGTACGCAGTCTTACCCCTGTACTAAAGCACAGATAGACTGTTTCCGGATGACCCATAGTGAAAATCGCGTCCAAAATTGCACAAATAGTTGCCTGCACAAAAACGACACTGGCCCAACATGATTGAAAACATCAAACTAGCACAACACGATGAGTGCACTTAAATACCATTTTCTAAAGAATAAATTCCACTTTTGATCTTACGAGTATCGCACCGATTCCCCAATTGGTCCACGTCCTTGACTTTGATCACTTTTGATCTACGTAGCACGGAAACGGGAAACGGGAAACGAGAAATGTCAGAAACGCCATTTACCAAAAATACAGAACACAAAACGTGGGGGAAATGCGCAAATATTAAAAATATAGGGGTTATTTTACACACACACATATATATGTACAAACATGCCACATGAGATTGTGTCGTATTATTAACACTGTCCTCCATCACTAGAGAATTAAAAATAATCTAAATTATACAATATACAATAAAATATTAAAATTAATTGAATTATTTAAAAACGAAGGAACGATGACTTGTGCTCTGAAATATACAAAAATGAAGGAACGAAGACCTGTAGTATTAAAATATACAAGCCGGCGAACCTCTGAAATACCTGAACGATGACCTGTGCTCTGGAGAAGCCGGCGAACGAAGGAACGATGACCGCTGTAGGGGACGACCTCTGGAGAAGCGGGCGAACTCTGCTGAAGCCTGCGACGAAACGATGACTGCTATGCGTAGGGTTGAAGAGCGAAGAGCCGAAGATGAAAGGTTTGACTTCTGTTTGAAAGGGTTGAAAGCCGGCCCTATTTTTTATCGGAACTCTGTTTTAAGTTTGGAAACGCGTTTCCAAACTTCCCAAAATTAAGAAATGGCCCAGGATACGCGTTTTGGCGTTTCCTACGCTCGGAAACGTTCGAACGTTTCCAATACGGAGAAACTCCCACCCCCAGCCGTTTCCGTGCGTTTCAGCTTTTGGTACATGACTATTGTGTTTTCGCCCATATATGGTCCTTTCGTCAATCATTCCGGTGGTTAAAATCGCTGGAGAAGGACAACAAATGGTCAAGAAACATTAGTCAAGTACCGAAAGTGGACAAAGTGAAAGACGTGAACTAAATGTGAAAATGACATAAAACTTGTAGGACCAAAAGTGGAGTTAATTCTTTTCTAAATCAGCTCTGGTTTTTGAGCCGGTCTGAAATTTCCCCACACATGTGAAAACACGGTTTGAGTTTTGAAATCCAGTAGTCTTCTTCACACTTGAGTTCCCAAGGGTCATAGACAAAGAACGTTCTTTGTCTATTTTTGGCTCTACGCTGTGTGAGTCTGTTTGTTATAGCAATGTTATCCAATAGAAATTTAACCAATGTTGTACAGTTGTATATTTCCCATTATTTTGACAGCTTATGTAATATGGCCCTAAAGATATTTGCGGTGCAAGGTTCTCTTTTTGATGATAAACGATGTCTGTTGCAGAGTTTGAAAAAGGACATGGCAAAGTCTCGCCTCTAAGATCAGCCGTCGTTGGAGATTGGGCCTCATTCCATCTTTGTGTGGGTTGATGTGCTTTATCTTTAAGTGAGCAAATGTGGAAATTATATATGTGAACTTTAAAGAGGAAAAATAATACTCCGTCCTACACGCTGGAGAAAGAGGAACTATATTGTAATGTTAGGTTCAGTAGCTGGTAATAATAAATATGAAATGCTCGAATAATCCGAACTTGCCTGGATGGGTTAACCCGCAAACTGGCACGCCGTTAATGACTCCAGGCTAGATTTGTGCTGGTCTGTTTAGTAAAACCCATGAAAAATTTTGACCAGTGCTGGACTGGGATGGACAAACCTGGGTTTAGGTGGAGCTGCTGCTTGCACGAAGTCTGCTAGATGAGACTTCTTTTATACACAAATGAGGAAATCCTCGCTTTTTGGAGTGAAAACTAAAGTAACAACCATGAATTAAGGGGGTGTTTGGATCTGATTCTTAAAACTGCTTCTGCTCCTTCATGAAGCAGAATTAGAATTTGGAGTGCTCTAGTTTGGGTGAAAGTGCAGAATTACTTATAGTGCTCTAATTTACTCCTAGAAGCCGTTTTTAGAAGTTGGGGGAGACCAGTTTCTGAAAACTGATTCTGATTCTGCTTCTGTTTTAAAAGAGAAGCAGAGCCATGATGAATTATATTCCAACACGGCTTTATAGATACCTTCCATGAATTTATTCACCGTCCATTTATGCACTGTCCATGAATTTTCATAATTGCTTTACTCTATAACATACTTTGTAAATAGTTGGTGATAATAAATATGAAATGCTCCGAATGAATAGGGTCTATTTACTAATAGATATATTTTTCAATTTTCTTTTCTATTTTTGTTCACTAATTTTCAATTTTGATTTTCTGTTTTTTCACTCCAATTTCTTCTTTTCATTTTTAAATTTGAAAACATGTTCTTCAAAATTTTTTCACTTGGTTCTGGGAGTGGCTAAAAGATCAAATATATGGTCCTGGTCCGAAATCGAACATGGTACAACTTAAAGATGGTACATGGTTTTAGATATAGAAAAGTTGGATTGAAATTGGTTGGTCCCGATCAGCCCCATTGGTTCTTTTAAAACTCTTCATTTTGAACAAAATGATTTTAAAAAACAAGGACTGGATTGGGACAGGAACCATCAGGTCGATGACCCAACTGGATGGATCGAGACCAACCAATTGTCGACCGGAATGGACTGGAACCGAGTCCAGACCGAGATTGAATCCGCGCATATCAAAATTGAAGAACTAGTAAAACTCGCTTTTCCAATTCACATGGAAAATAGAGGTATATCTCATTTTTTGGTTTTGATAAATGTTTGGTAACACATTTTCTAGTCTAGTTATATGCATATATAATATACACAAATTTTGGATAAATTATTTGTGGCTACGGACAAATTATTTGTGTACACACAAGTTGCAAAAAATGCACAAATAAAACTTCTATACGGAATGTGCTAAGGTGTACACAAACAACGGTTTCTACAAGTTGGAGTCAAGTTTAGCTTGATGAGGGAAGCGAAATGAGATTTTTTACATTTTATTGATGCTATATCTGTCATTAGAGGTATCATTTTTAGCATAGAAGATGCTAATCTAGAGACAGAGCCGTCAAAATGGGCCGAAACCCGCAGGTTGACCCGTTTAAACCCATTTATTGGTGAGTTAGGGTTGTGAATTTCTGATCCATTTAGTTCGCGGGTTTAAGTGGGTTGGCCCAACGGGTCGCGGGTTTAAGTGGGTTAGCCCAACGGGTTGCGGGTTGGCCCGCGGGCCAATATACAGGCATATAGTTTTGACTTTTATCATCTCCAATATTGTTCTTTTACTACCAAAAACATTATAATTACAATTTAAAAAATTACAAAAATTGCAAAATAATTATTATTTCTATAATAAATATGCAAATAAAATGTTGAAACATATATTTTATGTGAAGTTTGATACAGTATTTAGCAATTACTAGTCATGACTCATGATTTACAAATATTCAATCAAAAGGTTTAAATAGATCTTTACTGTTATACAATGAGTATTTTTGTTACATACCTTCTTATAGTTTTCAAATTCTCGTATAACTAGTACTTGATATTTTTTAATTAAACTTAACAAGTATTGAGTTATTAGTATTTTGATTTCTTATATTTCCCTTATTACTAATTACTAATATAAATATATACTCCAGGCCTCCAGGATAATATATTAAAGAATCTTTTGTCATATATTTTTTACATTGGCCCGCGGGCCAACCTGTTTAACCCACGGATTGGGTGGGTCGGATTAGGGTTGTAGAAATCCTGGCCCGTCAGTAAACGGGTTGGCCTGACCCAACCCACATAAAGCATAACCTGCCACGGGCCAGGTCGGATTGGGTCGGGTTGACCCGTTTGACAGTTCTATCTAGAGATACTTCCTTTAGTCTCAACTCTCACTAGTATTTATTTAAGTGATATGAGAATCACTTAAATTTCTGTCTGATTGTTATGTTCAGTAAGAATACTTTCCCTCTTATATGACTATTTCTTTGAACTATGATACCGAGCATAATCAATACTCTTTCCGGTTCGTTAAGATAGTCTCATCTTTCTTTTTCACTCTATCCCACAAAAAATGTCTCATACCAGATTTGGTAAAGTTTGTATGGTTATAAATCATTCTTACTTTATCAATTTAATATGAGCCACATATGTTCACTTTTCCTAATAGTTGCACCATCTCCTCATGTCTCAATGTTAGTAGCATCGATGTAGGTAAGAATAATAATGTTTTTCCTCTATCAAAAAGTGGGACTTAACGAATTACTATCTCGGTTCTAGGTAAAGGTTCTCTCATTCACTATTTTTTTATTAGCGTAAATTATTTTTATTTTTTGAATTTATATATATACTGTGAGAATAATAAACAGGCTAGGTAGGAGGAACTACACGTAGATTGTCCTGTAAAAATAAAAATTGTTGAGTAGTCAAACTCTTGGTAAAAAAGTCAGTCAGCCGAAACTTTGTTGGAACATACTGCACGAGGAGATCACCATGAGCCACACGTTCCTGAACAAAATAATAAGCAATATCAATGTGCTTACTTCGAGCATGATGAATGAGATTAGCAGATAAATATGAGACAAATACATTATCACACAAGAGGCGAACAAGGCGATTTATAGGGAAGCCCAGTTCGAAAAAAATGGGCCATATGTGTAACGTATCTTGAATCGTATATGCAATGACTCTATATTCACCTTCAGTGGAGGATCTAAAGAAAGTAGGTTGTTTCTTGGACCATCAGGAGATGAAATTAGGAGCGAGAAAAACAACATAGCCAGATGTGGAATGTCTACTATAAATACAACCAGCCCAATCAGCATCAAAGTACGCCAGAATGAAATGGGGTTGTGCTGATGGCCGTAAGTGTAGGCCATGTGTGAGAGTGCCTTGTAGATACCTGAAAATTCTCTTAACAGCCAACATACGTGAAGCACGAGAAGCATGCATAAATTGAGATACCAAGTGAACAACATATGTAATATCAGGTCTAGTCATAGTCAAATACTGCAATGCACCTACCATGCTACGATACTCTGCAGGATAAGCAAGTAACTCACCATGAGTGAGAGAGAGCTTGGTTCTACTAGGTAGTGGCGTGCGAACGGACTTAAGTGTATGAAGACGAAAACGAGTGAGAAGGTCTGACACATATTTGGCCTTATAGAGAAATAAAATGACTAATAAGAGAAGAGGAATTTCCAGTAACAATGATGTCATTCACATATAAGAGCAAATAAATTATGCGAGTAGCCTGACGAAAAATAAACAGAGAATTATCAGCATGACTACACACAAAACCATGTATCAAAAGAAAACTACCGAACCGATAAAACCATGCCCAAGGAGCCTGTTTGAGACCATAGATGGCCTTGCGCAAGCGACAAATATGATTAGGAAATTTTGGATGAACAAACTCGGGTGATTGGCGCATATAAACTTCCTCTGTGAGATGGCCATGAAGAAAGACACTTTTGACATCCAACTGGTGAATAGTCCAATTATATGAAACAACTAAGGTAAAAACAATGCAGACACTTGTGGGTTTAACAACACGACTAAAAGTTTCAGAAAAATTAACCCCAACTTGGTGTTTAAACCCTTGGGTAACCAGACATGCTTTTTGGCGTTCAATAGAACCATCAAATAGATATTCAGTTTTATAAATTCATTTAGACCCAACCACATTCTTGCTAGAGTCAAACGACAATAACTCCCATAATTTATTAGCAACAAGTGCATTAAATTCCCCAGCCATTGCAACTCTCCATTTAAGATCTTTATTGGCAACAGAAAAACAAGTCGGATCATGAACCAAAACCCCAGTATTTAAATTAAAATTTGTTTTTGGTTTAAAAATTCCTGATTTGGAGCAGGTTTGCATGGGATGAATATTTTGTGCCAAAGAATTACCGGATACCAGAACATCATCGACCACATCACTCGCAGGAGCCAAAGATTTTGACGGGCTAGAACTGACCGACGAACCTGGAGCAAGCGTAGCACTGCCATGCGTTGTGACAGGACTGGAGTCCACAAGCGTAGCAAGCTGCTGGACCGAGTTGTCGGCTTCCGACTGGGAGCTGGATGTCGGCGATGATGCGCAGGTGTCCGAAGAAAAAATCACCAGAGGCAGCGGCTCGCCAGTAGCAGAGATAGACAATGGGGAGGACCTGAAGAATGACAGAGGTCACGGCTGCAAGGTTGGCGACTCAGGAGAACTATGAGACACTAACTGAGTATACGGAAAAACATTTTCATGAAACCGGACATGATGACTAACATAAACTCTACTCGTTCTTGGATTAAGACAACGACACCCCTTATATTGAGACGCATACCTAGAAAAACACATTGTAAAGAGCGAGAAGAGAGCTTATTTGCACAAGTGACAGGAAAATTGGGGTAGCACGCACATCCAAACACACGGATAAAGGAGAAGTCAGGAGTCTAGCGGAATAATTTTTGGTATGGAGAAAAACCAGAAAATTTGGTAGAGGGTAAACAATTAATAATTTAAGTAGCAGTCAAAATAGTCTCAACCCAAAAAATAGCTGGCAAGCCAGCATCAATAAGCATGGTTCTAGCTAACTCAAGTAGATGGCAATGTTTACGTTCAGCTAAACCATTTTCTTGAGGGGTATCCAGACAAGACTTTCTAAAAAGCACACCATGAGAATTAATAAAATGACCGCATACCTAAATTATCAAACCCATCCCCTCCATCACTTTGAAAAATTTTAATTTTATGATCCAATAAACTTTTAACCGGCCTCTTAAAAGATTGAAAATGAGTAAAGACTTTACTTTTACGACGCATGAGATATATCCAAGTAAAATGAGAATAATCATCAGTAAAAGAATAATATTTGAAACCTTGAGAAGATGACACAGGAGATAGCCAAACATCAGAATGTATTAAAAATAATGGTTTACTAGAATTATGAAAAACATCTTGAAAGGGTAATCTCTGAGATTTACCCAAATGACACGAAGTACAATCATGATAAAAAGAAGAAATACTACTAACTTGACCTAATGCCAAGGATGGAGATTGAGACTAACTTTCTTAAAACTCTAGTGCAAGAGTGTCCCAAACGGCGATGTCATAGTGATCCAGGTGCTGTGCTAGAAACTAATGCCAAGGATGGAGATTGAGACAAACGAATGGTATAAAGACCGCCACTACATAAACTTGAAAAAGAACTGCTCTCGTGGTTTTGTCTTTTACCAAAACATAATTTTTGTCAAAAATA